GGAGGAAAAGGAACTTGGTCTTCACTTTAAAATTTCCTTTTGCTCGTGGGTTAAAATGTTTTTGGACATTGGCTGAATGACTGCTTGAAAGGAAAAAGTGAGTGAGAATAGTTTATGTGTGTAAAGGTTATTGTGGCTTGGTTTATTTATTACTGAAAATGGTTCATCAACCCACCCTTCATCTTTACTGACACCCCTTCTTCTCCCAAATGGAAATCCATGCTCAGTTATGGAAAAGGAGGAGGACACATGGAGGGAGGGGGTAAATTGCTTTTGGTGTGCACAGCAAGAAAAGAGCAGAGGGCAGCTTGCAGGGACTCTGGTCAGCCACCATGACAACATGGACAGCTAGGGAATCTGGCGGTTCTCTTGGTGTAGGTCACCTCTGTTCATTGGCCGACAGTTCAGCCCTTTATAGTGCCTGTCAGGACACTGGGTGAGTTGGGGCAATGAATTTTAAGTATGTCTTGTTTGGGACATCTCCCCAGCACCTTGGCTTCTGGGTGGAAGCCCACAGCAGCAACACACATCTGGTTCTTATGTATTTCCCAGGCTGGTATGGAAATGCCCAGGCTGCATGGCAGAAACCTGAGCTGGTGTGACAGGAAAATTTCTCTGCTGAGCAGTGTTAAAGTTTGGATAGTTTCGGAGTGCTGGGTGGCCCCTACTCTTGATGTGAAGCACATGACCTCCCTCCTCATTCTATTCTGTTAGAGTTAATTGCTCCACAATGAGGGCATCTCACACATCAGAGAAGGAATCTTCCCTAGCCAATATGATGGCACAAGTAACACCACAGGTGGAATAATTTTTGATACCTGAAGAGTGTCCTTACCTGAAAAACCCCACCTACATAAAATGGGCCTGGGGTTTTCTTTCATCAGTGGCTTCCTGGGTACAAGTCTCTTTGGCCTGGCCCAGGCTCTTAGCAGGCTGTTGGCCCTGTATTAGACTGTACATCCTGACCTTAAAGCTACTACAGCTTCTGTGAGTGGGCAGCCAACCCCAGAGTCAGATCGTAATAGAATAGCTTCATATGTCAACAGCAAATTTGCTGCTGTCCTCAAGAACCCAGAGACACCCTGAGGACAAATTCCCTGCAGACTCCGAGAACCCCATGAAAGAGGGAGTGGAAGCTGGCACACAGCTCCAGTGACTCCCAGCAGTTTGGCCCCTGCCTGCCGCTAAGCCTGGCAGAGGGGAGAGAGGCAGGGCTTGGGAACAGGGCTAAGAAAATCAGTTGTTCCCCTTCTTTGGATCGGCTTGTAGACTAGCTTGAGACAACAAATACCTGAGAAGAGGAGTAAGGGTGGAGGGCGGAGGGCGGAGCAGGCCCTGTGGTCCCCCCTGGCAGTCTTCTAGCAGTTCTCAGGCTCTGAGTTAAATGACCAGAGCTCCCCACAATGCCCTTCTGAACTGCAGGAGGTGGCCCAGAGCAGATTACCGGAGGCCTCCAGTCTCTCAGACCTGCCACCCCTCCCCCAGCCCTCACCTTACAGAGGCCCCTATCACTTACTTCTGAGAGGACTTGCTTTCTCAGGAAACCTGGTGGAGGGGGATATGGGAAGAGTTGGAGGCATATTTCCTGAATTCACAACTCCCTTGGAAATTGACATATAAAGAGGAGATCCCAAACTCTGCCAAGATAGGAGCTCCATGGTATCAGAAAACCTCTTTCCTCCTGGGGAACCCCTGAGACCCTTCCTTAAGTAACCCTGACACTTTGTTCAAGATGTCAGCTAAGCTGGGAGAAGGAGTTTGGTCTGTCCCCTATCCAAGTAAATACAAATGAATTTTGCTTCTTAAAAAGAACTGTTATAGATTTAGACTTTTCCCAGCCCAAATCCACCTAGTTTCCTCAGGGTCTCTTGTCAGCAATCACAGCCCACCCCCATCTCTTTTTCCATTTGTCTTTGTGGCTCAAGGTTGCGGCGTTTAGGAGGGTTGTTCGTGTGAGCAGGCCTTCCTGTCTCACCCCATCTCCCTGGATGCAATTGCAGTTGGAAGCCACACACACACACACACACAAAAGTCTTTTAAAATTTTCTGCTATTCTTCCTGACTAGAAGAGTTGACAAGACATAGACATATTAAGATGCATAAAATACAGTGGACTGATCAGCCAAAATGCATCTCATTTGCACTTGTATGTAGCCAGGAGAAGGCGTTTGTGTCACCACCAGGGCCCCCAGCCTTCTCTGCCATGCTGGGCTGACTGGCTGGAATTTCTGAGAAGGCCCCACTGCAGAGGCCATTTGCTGAGGTCCCGGCTATAGCCCCAGCCCAGGCCAGGCCAGCAGGGGTGGGGGGAGTTGGGGAGGGATCTGCAGGGCTTGAGTCAGCTTTGGAAGGCTGCTTTGAGCAGCTCAGGGGCTAGAAAGCCTGGCTGGTGGTCACAGAAACCCTGTGGGTCTGTCTCCTGGGTTGAATTAAAGAAAGGACACCATGAGGTAGTCATGGACCACATTTATACCCACTTCTAATCCCTTCCCAAAGTTTCGTCCTTTTTACCCTGTTTGTCACCGGTGGGGGGATACCTCTGCCGGATGGGTTCCTCCATCTTCTAGTCCTGAATTCAGACCCTGAGCTTCTCCTTTCTGCAAACGTCTCCGCTGAGCCCCACTTCTCAGTCCCTAAGTTCCCAGACTGATGCCTCTCCCACCAACTCTGAGAGGCCCACGGAAGCTGCACCAGAGTCGTCAGGGAGCCCAGTGGGGCTGTGGGCAAAGTTAGAGATTATTATGACGTTTCCACTCACTACCTACCTAATAATTACTCTCTTGCTTGGATCTTAACCTTCCTGTTCCCAGGTGCTGAAGTGCCCAACTCCTATCCACCATCTGGCGGCTGAGGTTGCACTCAGAGGCTGGGTCACTGCACTAGGGTCCTTGAATAGCCTAGAAGGCAGAGCAGAGGAAATGCCCGACTAGTTGCTCTGAGAGCTCCAGTGGCACATCCCGGGGGCAGCTCTTCCACATGATCCTCTGTGATTTCCCTGCAAAGGTCATGGTGACAGACTCTACCAGATCCCCACTTCTCCAGCAAACTTCCTCTCACCCAGCAGGGAGGCTTGTGGCTGCTTCTGGGTCTGCGCCTTCAGGCCAGATGGCAGCCTGTGACTTTCCTGTTTCAACCTTGGGCGAGGTACGCGGCCCAGCAAGACTGCTGCCTCACCAGGTGGCTGCCTGGGGAACAGCCACTGATAAGGCCCTACAAACTCAAGTGCAACCACCCACTCATGCTCAAGGCAGCCTGCAGGAGCAGAGAGTCTGAGGCTGCAAGGCTGACCTGTGAGCCCTGAACCATTGACAGCCCGCGCACATGTGCAGAGCCCCAGGGAGCAATCAATAGACTCTGTGTCCTGAGAGCGGGAGACACGCCTCTAAGGTGTGGGGTCCTTTAAAGATCCTTGGTACTACTTTTGCATGAATCCTTTGTTACAGCTTTGTCAACCTGCACTCCTTCAGCAGCCCCCCCCCCATCCTGGGCCTCTCCATCTCCCCTCATTTCCTCCCCACACCCCAAAGCAGGGAAGGTCTGAGTAGGGAATCTGCTCAAATCAACTGCCCTGCCCCAGATCCCCTCCTACAAAATGCCTGTCCCTAGGTTATGATCTCCCCTTCATGCTTGGAGCACATGAACATAGTTTACATTGCCTTTGGCTTTGGAGTTAGGTTCTCTTGGAAGAAAAAGCTTTCTGGATGTGACCTCAGGCTGCTGCTGCAGCAGACTCCTGCTGCTAGTGAATGAGCAGCTCTCGGGCCACAGACACAGATGGGGGTGACTAGGGTAGGTAGGGGGTAGGGGGTAACCTTCCCTCGCCACAGTAGGGACTGGAGGATTATGACAGAAAGAGTAGGGTGAGAGTAACACAGCTCCAAACTCAGTTGGTTTCTTTCTACTGGCTACAGGGCAACCAGCTCCCACTGTTCTGGGGTGGACTGCTCCCCTCACCTCCCAGTTGTGGTCTGACTGCTCTATAGTCTAAGTGCAATCCTAGGCAAATGTTTAAAGGAAGATGCTCTGACACACAGGAGGTGCGAGCAATGGCTGTGTTCATACACATAAGCTTACCTGTACCATCATATTATAGCTGTACATCTCCTCAGTTTTTCTGTTTAATTTGTCTTCATTTCTCCTTTCTCAGCCTTTCTGTTTGTACAAGCCATTTGGAGAAAAATCAAGTGTGAGCACCTCTGTGCAGAATCTCTGTATGTTATATAACACACACAGGGAGTCCTGAAGTTACCATTTTGTTCCAAATCAGTCAGCCAAGAGAGTTTCTGACTGCAGTGGGGTGAGGTGGGGATGTCAGGGTAATGCAAATGGAGGTGCAGGCCTCATTCCCAAAGGGGGAGGGCTTTTATTTTCCTCCTTGACGTCCCAGTTCAAGACCCAGGGACAAAGGGGATAGGTAACTGATCCATCTTTGGGTCTCTCTCCCTCCACTTGTAACCACTCATGGGCAGGCCCTCTGCTTCGATAAACAGGGGAAAGCTTGTGGGATCAGGTATGTGTGGAAATAGTGCTGACCTCTGACAGCCCCTCCTTACCAAAAGGCAGAAAGCCCACTTTAGCTGCAGGCTTTTCAGAATCTTTTAGTGCCGCCACTTCCATTTCCCAGATGTCGCCGGACTCAAGGCTACTTGCTTAGCATCTTTCTTGTTAAAAATATCCAGGACAACTATTAAATAACTCTCTGGGGAGAGTTAATGACATTTCTCTCGTTTGAAACTGTTTTAAAACCCTATTTGGAAGAAATCTTTGAAGAGTACAAAGCCTGATCAGTAGCAGGATTGCCTAAGCAAGTGTAAAAGATTTCTCTTCCAAAAATGTGAATTAAATATAGTTTGTAGGTGTTGTTTTATTAACTGATGGGTCTTTCCTTACACATTCTCAAGACCAAGCTAGTAAGACATTTCTTTCCATTTTGGTAGTTTTGGGGTGATACTATACTTTCTGATTAAACCTTTTTATTTTTAAACTCTGCTGGCGGGTTTTCAACCTTGGAAATGTAAAGGAAAAAATAGACTCTCCCTTTAAGACTCTGACAGAGTGGGTCAGAGTGGAACAAACTTGCCTGGCTCCCATTCACATCTCGAAGAAGCCTCATCTGAACTAGGGTAGAGTGACAGTGGCAGGTTTGGCACCTCTAGTGCTGGCACAAGGTGAGCTCTTTGAAATGAGGATCTACTGTGTTTCACTATGCAATGTTCCAGCCGACTAAATGGGCTGCCTTCTGCAGAGAGGACAGAACTAATGCGTGATCTCCCAGGAAGCTTTTCATCAGAACATCCCTTGTCCTTTTGTTTTTGTATTAAAAAGATGTTTTTGCTTTCCTCTCAGTTCCTCCGCATTATTTTACAGCTACAACAAAGAAATACGGACAACGGTTATCTTTTTTTTTTTTTTGTCATTTATAAACTCATCTCATATTGGGAACTCACAAAGCCCCAGACGTACCTCAGGTATGTCTTGCACTTTTGATGTTTATTCCTGACTCAATGGTTTACCTACAGATTCACAGTTGATTTTGCCTTTCCCTGGACAAATCTCTCCCCCCAAAAATGCTACTCTCCTAACTTTCAGGGGAAGGGGATTGACTTAGAAAAAGCTTCCTGAATTAAAGAAGATGAGACTCAGGTTCTCCAGGTAAGTGATATGAGCTTATACGGGTGATGGGGAAGCCAAGAGCTGGTATTTTACCCCCTTGGTATAACTGCTCTCAGGAAGGAGGGCGGTAGGAGCATTACTACAGACATTTCTAAAGCTGTGGCCACGAAGTGAGTTTTATAGATAAAATTGTGGTGTAGTTCCAAACAGTTCAAGTTATTTAAATTTGAGGGTTTTTTGTTTTTTTTTTTTTGCACATGCACACACAACAGGCCAACCCAGGGCATATTACCGGCGCATTTCCGCTGGCCAGCTCTCGTGATAAGAGCCACAACGAAAAAACTTATTTTTGGAAGAATAAGAAAGGGGGGAAGCACCCCTCCATATCTTGTAAGTGGTTATTTTATACTGCTTGACATCCCCAAAGATAGGAATTGGCCAGACACCCTGCTCCTTTTTCTAAGAACTGGTGAACTAACCACTCTCCTTCTCCTCCCTCAAGACCTATCTCTGTTTAAAAGCTAAAATTTCTCTTCCCAAAGGGAGAAAAAGAAAGGCATGAATGCCATTAGTGAATTAAGTACATGGAATGTGGCTCTTCTAGGGCAATTGTATTTGTAAATAACTGTCTTCCTGTTTATTATAAAAATGAACTCGGATGCCTCTGGAACACTTAACACAGCAACTATTTCAACGTATGGTCTGATTTCCACTGTGTGTTTATCGGCACTCACTGGGAATTGTGTTCAGAAGAGTCACTCGGGGCTGGGAAGGTGGTCAGCTTCCTCTGACGCCCTGGCTGACTTGGGGAGGGGCCGCCCCCCCCCCCCCCCCAGTCCTCACACTTGCCAAAGTAGGAGCGGAGCGGGAGAGCTCCCTGGCAATATTATTGGCGTCTGGGGAGTTTCAGTTTTGCCCCTGAACCTTTCTAAAGGTGACCATGACCTTCTTTTGCAGCTTCAGAAATGAAGCCGACATGACATCCTGCTGGAGCATGAACTGGGCACCAACCCGTCTTCTGCGCTAGCCCACCGCCAGCTCACCAACCCTGCGCAGGGCCGGGCTGCAGTGCCTGGGCAGGGATGGGGCTGCGGGAGGTGACCGTGAAGCAGCGGGACACTGGCAGCCACCCCAGCTTTGGGGAAGTGCTATAACTTCCCACTGGTGGGAAGCGGAGGTACGCACAACCCAAGCTCCCCCAGGTCCCCCAGATCTCCATCCAGAGTGCGGGGCACAGGGCCTGAGGCGGAAACTTCAGAAAGCGCTGGCCGCCTCCAGCCCTGTCCCTGCTCCGCTGGCCAGGTACAGAGACCGCCACTCCTTCCCAAACAATGCGACCCATCAGCATGCGAGTCCAGTCCTCACTGACCCCTGCCCTCCCTCCCCCCAGACGGACTATGGCAGAGGGCTGGATCCTCATTCTGAACCAATGCATCCCCTGCCCTGGGCGGTGCCCTCGGGAAAAGACCCCGACTGCACTCACTACGGCAATCCCAGGCCCTGGTCTCTAGGCCGGGCCACAGACTTTGAAGATTCAGTGGGCCCAGCTCAGTCTTGACTTCTCCTCCAGGGCTCCAGGGTTGAAGCAGCGGCGAGGTGGGGCTCGGAAACAGCCGGCCCCTCTGAACTCCAGGGTCCCGGGAGGGGAGGCGGCAACCGAGTTCCTGGGAGGAGAAGGCGGGAACCCAGCACAGAAAACCGGACAGTGCAGAGCAGTGGTCTGGCGGCTTTTCTGCCTTCAGTGCCCACCTGTGTTCAGAAAGGAAGCACCAGAAGCTCTGGAACCCGAGCCCACCCAGCTCAGCTACTCCTCCAAACTTCCAAGAAAACTTTCACGGCTTCCTATTTGTTTTCTCCTCAGTTTTTTTAGAAAGTATTTCTCCAGCCACCGGCCTTGTGGATTGCTCTGCCAACTGCCCTTTAGTCTCTAGGGCTTTCAAGGCTGGAGTATTTACAGAATAATAATAATAACTATTGTAATTAGGCTGGGGGAGGACAGCAAGGTCAGAGGATAGTGGACTGAGGGGGAGAGTAGAAATGTTGATGAAAAGGAATATTTCGACTTGTGTTTTAAAAAGTTTGGTTTGACAATTATCAGTAACCCCGATGGACGACTTCATTAAAAAAAATTTACTCCTGCTTCTGAAGAGCCATTTTTACATCGCTTTTAGGAAGACAGATGAACAAAATATCGCGTTTCAAGCTATTTTGATCTGTAATTAAATGGCAGGATCGGTTTGTATTCTCCTACGGCTTTTACAGAAGTTGCAGTGATCCAAAGTCGGGTTGCTGTGTCAGAGTGGCATTTTTATTAATGAGAATACAAAAAGCTTGCATATTCTTAGCCCTGCTAGAATTTAGTTGCTAAGCAACCGCTGTATGGTAATTCATCCGCGAAATTTAAATCTTTGAGAAAGGATCCTGCGTTTTGCTGAATGGTCGCCACGAGGAAAACAACTTGTGGGACTGGCCAGCTGTTACCCTCAGGTAGGGATGTCACCCCACCGCGACTGCCACCGTCCCGCCTGGCTGCCCGGCTCTGCCCGGGGCCCTAGGAAGACTGCCGCTGCCTTCGGTCCCCAGCACCACCCTCGTCCGCTCCTCTGTGAGCTCCCGTCTCTGCCTGAGGCAGGCCCTGCACCGGAGCAGGCCCTCCGCGTGCACCCCTAGGGCTTCAGAGACTAGACTGCGACTTTCCACAGCCTCTCCCCTCACCTGCACCCACAGAAACGCATACACGCGCGCGCGCGCGCGCACACACTGGTGCACTCATCGTGCCACCATGCGAAGGCCAGTTGCCCAGACCCCTCTGAGGTCACTTCCACAGCGGACTCATAAAGAACTCAGCCCACAGCCCTCCCGAAGACCAGGCTGCAGCTCCGGCTGGCCGGCAGTGACATCATAGACTCCTGCTCGCCATGCTCGCGCCCACGTTTTAGGGTCCTGGAACAAACACGGATGTGAAATCAAGAATGAAAGAGAGTAATCTAATTAATAGGCCATGAGCCAGGCTAACAAAATCAAAGAATCCGATTACACAAGTACCCCTCTTGCTATCTCCGCTGCGCCCCCCCCTCCCCCACATCCCTCTCTGCCAGCCTCTGCATGATTTCCTTTCCTAGACTGGAAGTTCAGGAGGCAAACCCAGAGCTCTCTGATTTCCTTACTGAAATCAAGATCAAGCCCACAGTGGGGCTTCGCAGCCAGGAGGTCACATGGGAGACCTTCAGGGAAGCAATTGAGATGACCAAGAAACCTTCAAAACTTGGAGATTTGAAGAGGTGGCCTCCACACTTTTTACATATTATCACTCTCAACACCACCACCACCACCACCAACAACAACAACAACAAGACTAACACCTGTGCTGATGGCTTGCTTGTGCTGTCAGTAACAGGCTGGGAGAAAGAGGCTGTTCACTCACAGTAATTTTAAGAAGACATCTAAACAGAAATAACATAACACGACTCTTTTTTTCTACGTTACCTTGTTTCTGGGTCACAGATAACCTCAGTCTTAACACTCTTCCGACACCAGTCCCCAGCATAGATGTCTGGTACAGCCAGGTATTAGGTTTTCTCACCGATACATGGCATCTGTTCTAATCTGCTTAGCCAGCCACATGCATTTCATGAAAGAATTCTTTAATTTCTACCCTTCTGCCTTGAAAAAAAACAGGTCCACCTCCTAAATAATTAATTCCAAGTCTGCATCCAGTGCCAATACTTGTTGCATCCATTTTAGAATTTGATTAATTACCCTGGAACTTGGGCAAACTAAACTCCATGTGGAGAGAATGTTTCTTCTTTCAATTTAGTTCTGAAAGCTACATGTTATTGATGGATCTTACTCTATTTACATACAAATTGGTGCAAATATGCCCATCTCTTAAAATGCATTTTGTATAAATATATAAAAGTGTCATTTTTAATTTAGCTTGAGAGGTTGATCATTTATTACAAAAATAAATGAATAAATACAATGATATATTGTTGCTTCCAACAGGATAAATACTTTACAAATATATAATTTAAAAACAAATTTAATTGTTAAAATTATTTAAAATATTACACTTATTGATAAACTACCAATAGTATATACTGCATTTAATATTAGAACCAATTCTCTGAATGTTGAAAACCATTCATACAAAACATTATGAGCATGGTAATGAGCAACTATTGGAGGCTATAGGGAAGCAGAGGGACTCTCTAAGATAAAAAATGAACAGTTCTATTTTGGAACAAAGAAGTAGTCCTTACCTCAGTACTTAAAAAAGGCAGAGCAATGACAGCAAAGCTACTATTTTAAATACACCTTGAATGATTTATTGCCCAGACTTTTCGGGAGAAGATGGTTGGGGGAATGAGGTGATTGAGGCTTGGACAACACATCAGGAGCCACAGGAGACTCCAAAGTATAAATGGGCCTGGTTTGGAATTGGCCAGATCGGTGGGACAGAACTTTGTCACTTTCCTTTGGGTTGGAAGTGGAGGAGGGGGTGGGTTGAAGTGGGGGAAACAAATGGGCACTTTATGAAGCACAAGACACTTGCTCTGCGAAGGAACACAATGACCAAATTCATTAAAGAGATCTGGTGATATATAACAATATTTTCATTATTTATGTTAGTAACAATATAAGCCTTAACACAAAACCTCTCAGTTCTATCTGCTCTTTTGTTTTTCAACCATAAATTTCATTTTGTTAATACATTCAAAGGGTTGATTTTCAAAATACAAAATGCCAGCATTAGCTCACTTAAAAAAAGATGTAAAAGAATGAAATAAAATGGTCTTGCTTTCCCAGCTTCTCCCGTTAAAAGTTTCTGTTACCCCTAAATCAGGGCTTCTTCCAAAGTAATCAGCAAAGGTCGACTTTTAATAGAAAGCAGTGTGAAATCTAATGGCAGTTCTTTTGTTGTCAGCCAAATAAAGTAAGCAAATAGCTCCTAAAATTTTAACTAGACCCACCATCTAATCAACCACTACTAATGCTGTGGGGAAAACAGGATTTCATCTCACGTGCCAGTAGTATCCAATGTAGGAAAACAACCACACCCAACCCTCAGCTTTCCAATAATCCTTCTTTGCTTGCCCCTGTACACCCTCAAGGATGATGAAGTTTGCGACTCCCAACTCCAGGTTGTAAATTCACTGGGCAGAGAGATTACAATAGCAAGAGAAATGAGAAAACAGGAAAGCTAAGGAAAGTAAATTGTGGTTTCTTGTTTTCATTTTTTCCTTTTTCTGTTTAATAAATATGGCCTTTTTCAGATTTCACAAATCAAAATGATTGTGATGTTTAGTACGATTTGGTGTTTAAAATAATGCAACCCAAAACACGGCCATCTGGCTGGGCTTGATTTATGAAAGTGACAAAGGGTCTGCCTGGAAGAAATAACTGTTCCTTGTTGCTCTCACAGTTTTCCGGGTTTTTTAACCCCTGCACTGATATCTTAGGGAGAGGAAGTGAAGATGAGAGAAGGAAGGCAAAAGTGAGTGACAGCTAAATGAGGAAAATTATTCTATAAAAATCACAGGTTTATCACCCCCAAATACTTTTTAAAAGTCCAATATGAAAGGACTTAGCTAAGCAGAACCTCTTCCGTCTTTAGTACTCACAACCTGAGACATCGCACTTTCACCCCCACCATTGTAAATATTGATACTTTAATGTGATAAATGTGACCACTCTACAGGATGTATCAGGAGAGTGATTCAAAAAGGTCCCCCCACCCCCAACCACCAGAGCCAGTAAGGCAGACATAGAAACACACTGGGGAAAGACCAAAACACAGAACTGTAGAACCTCCTGTCCCACTGGTGTTCCCACTCAGGGCGAGGCAGTGTGGGCCACGTCAGGATTTCAGAACTGCATTCTTTCATTACAGGAAAAACAAAACAAAACCAAACCCAAAATGGCTTAATAATTTAAACTTAATTACACAGTTATCAATGACAAGTAATTGATACAAAATGTTATAGACTTGTGAGCTAGTCTTCACAACTATTAGTCTTTAGAAAAAGAGGAAAGAAATATAGCAATATGGTGGGGAGGAGAGAGAATAGAGGCCAGACTTTGGGAAGGGGGGGGGCTCTGTATTAACTATTAATAATCAGTTGGCATATTTTTTACTGGTGATGACATAGTCCAGTGCAATAAAGATGAAAAGGACCCAAGTATCTCCAAGGAAAGGACAAAAACACTAAAAATGCCCACTGAAATTAAGGGAAAGAAAAATATTGTGAAATTTATAGCTTATCAAGGAGTGACTACTAAGTTAAAATTAAAGTACTAGCAGTTTCTGTCATGTTTGTCCTTTAGATTTCCAAATCTGCCTCAGGTACAGCAAGCTCTGCTCTACTTCCTCAATGCTGTCACTTAAGGATATGCATTAGTAAAAAAATATTTTCTAAAGAACTATTTTATTCCCACACAGTGTTTATGCATCAGACACAGGCTATTTCATTCTAACAAATTTATTTTCTCGATCAGCTCTTACGGAATCACTACTCAAATTAAATTACAATCAAATGATCACATCAAAAGATACCCTTATTACCTAACAACTGTCCATATTTTCATTTCATTTTGATTTGTGCTCGTCTGAAAAAAACACGTAATACAAGATCTGGGGAAAAATAAATTACCGTTTTGCAGCAGTTCATAAGTATTCTGAATAAAATATTAAAAGAAGTCATTTAATGAAAATATAAAGCAAATATTTTTAGATCAACAACGGATCTAACAATTCTATATTGCCGTCTTTTGAAAAGTCTGTTTATTAAAACCTACCAAAAACACTGCTTGGAAATGGCAGTATTCTATAATCACATCCACAGCACCCATTCAATCAAAGTTGGCAACGGATTGAGGAGTGAAGTCCAAGAAGGGCAGCGGCTGGTGCTCAGTCCTTCCAAATCCCTTTATCTGAGTCAGTCCAGAAACAAAAAATAAAAATATTAATAAAAAAAATATTAGCGGTGGAATCTTTAGGCATCGTCCACCTGAGGGGCGGCCACTGCAGTCGCGGTTGCTGGCCAGGCCTCACTCCACGCCCAGTCTGCCCGCCCGCACCCCCGCTCCGCCGGGCTCTCCTACTCCTTGACGGAGGAGCAGATGTCCCCTTCGCCCTCGCTGGTCCCTCGGCTCTTTCGTGATGCTTTTATTCCCGAGGTTATGTGGATGAAGCGTATTCTTTTTCTTTTGGCATTGCTCTTCGGTTTGTTAATTTCGGAAGCTGTGAATATTATTTTTGCTGGAGACTGTTTTTTTTTTCTCCTTCCCATTTCATAGTCAGTTTATGTGTCCCCAGATGACTTTAATATGGCTAAGAAGAACCGGGTCCCGGAGCAGAGTCATCCCTGATTGAACCCGGTGCCTCTGCTTTCTTTCAAATCGCTTCCAGTAAACAAGGTACCGGTGGATCACTTTAAACAGCCCTTTGGAGGGAGGGGTTGGGAGAGACGGGTACTTTATCTTTTTTTTTTTTTTTTTTAAGAGGAGAGGAAAAGGCAGGTGCTAGGTCCTGTCCACCGTCGCTGTGTGGGACTTCTCAGCGTGCGCAGAACTCCACGAGTGCAGTTTTGGTGCGCTGGCATTTTCACTCTTCTTTGAAAACAAAATCAAGAACAAAAAATGAAACACCACCACAGTATAAATGAGATCTCACAATCGCCCTCCTCTCTTCTGGTTTTGTTTGTTGTGTATATATGTAAAACCGTCTGGGTATTTATTATGCTTTTTTGTTTGTTTTGCCCCTCCTTCCTTGGGCTTCAAAAAACATCTCTTCGGTCTCTCTCCTTTTTTTTCCAAAGGGTGGGCAAGCCTGTCTTTGGGTACAGGGCAGGATGGCGGACCCCCGGGCCTGGGGCAGTCCGGGTGCGGTGCAGGGTAGGCGCGGGCGGTGGCGGTGGCAGCGACTGCGCAGGCGGCAGCTGCGTCCCTGGCCCTCACTGCACGCTCGTCTGCAGTCCGTGGTGTGGCGGCGGCGTGTCGGCGCTCACAGTGCCCACTTGCGAGTAGACGTCGTCGGGAGTCTGCTGTTGGATACCTGGTGGCGTCATGCGCTTCTCCTTTTGGCGTCGGTTGCAGAACCAAACACGCACGACCTCCTTCTCGAGCTGCAGGCTGTCGGCCAGGTTGGTGATCTCCTGCGCTGAGGGCTTGGGACACTTGAGGAAGTGGCTCTCGAGCGCGCCCTTGACGCTCACCTCGATGGAGGTCCGCTTCTTGCGCTTGCGGCCCTGCGCCGCAATCTTGTCGATGCTGGTGGGGCTGCCGGTGCTCGAGTCCGCCTCCTCCAGCCACTTGTTCAGCAGCGGCTTGAGCTTGCACATGTTCTTGAAACTCAGCTGCAGGGCCTCGAAGCGGCAGATGGTGGTCTGCGAGAACACGTTGCCGTACAGCGTGCCCAGCGCCAACCCTACGTCGGCCTGTGTGAAGCCCAGCTTGATGCGCCGCTGCTTGAACTGCTTGGCGAACTGCTCCAAATCGTCCGACGTTGGCGTGTCCTCGTCGGAATGAGGGTCGTGGCTGTTGAGTCCTGGCCCAGCACCGCCACCAGTGTGGTGTGGCGGGCCCTGCGCGTGGTGCGGGTGTGGCGGGTGCGGGTGGTGGTGGTGGTGGTGGTGGTGTTCCGCCAGCTCCGGCGTGTCCCCGCGCACCAGCCCTGGGTGCACCAGGCTCTGCGCCCCGCCACCCGCCCCGCCGCCGCCGCCACCGGGCCCAGGAGGTGCGCTCAGCATGCCGTTCACCGTGAAGCCCCCGGGCTGCGAGTACAGCAGGCCCTGCGGCGGTGGCTGCTGGCTCCCCGCCATGGACGGGAGGTGCGCCGCGGCGGCAGCGGCAGCAGCGGCTGCTGCTGCAGCGGCGGCCCCCCACCCCCCAGGGTGGCCCTGGTGCGGCGGCGGAGGCGGCGGGGGCCCAAGGTGCGGTGGCCCGCGGTGGTGCAGCGCGGTGCCCGCGTGCAGGTCGTCGCGCCCGGCGCCTCCTTTCACGTCGGGGCCCTGCGGCGGCGGCGGCGGCTGCTGGGGACTGCCGGCCATGCCCACGGCGCTGCCGGACCAAGGCGAGCTCGCCTCCACCGCGGCGGCAGCGGCGGCTGCGGCCGCGGCGGCAGCGTGGGGCAGGGCCGTGACCCACTGGTGCGCGTGGCTGAGCATATGGCCGCCGTTGCTGGCAGCCATGGCCCCCTGCATGAAGTCGCTCTGGACCATCTTGACTGAGGATGGGTCCCCTCGGTAAGCACCGGAGGTCACAGCCGCACTGCCGGGCTGCAGGCCTCCCCCTCCGCCACCCGTGCCGCCGCCGCCTCCCCCGCCCCCACCGCCACCGGCCCCCGCCGCGTCCGTGTGTACAATGGAGCCGGCCGCCAGCAGGCTGTTCCCCGGCAGGTAGGGGTTAGAAGCCGCCGTGGCCATGCCGCTCCTCTCCCGCCACCCCACAGCCGCCACCACCGCCGCCGCAGCAGCAGCCGCGGCCGCCGCGCCACCCCCCCTTCCCGCCTTCTGCCCCCCCACACTCCTCCCCCGCCCCCGCCGAGGGCCCGATGGGCCCCGCCGCCGCCTCCGCCGCCGCCTCCGCCTCCCCCGCCGCCGCCTCCTCCGCCGCCGAGGCCCCGGGCCGGAGCTGCAAGGCCGCTGGGCAGGGCGCGGGGGTCGCTGGCCGGTCTCGGTCAGCTGCAGCAGCTGGAGCACCGCTCTGGGGAGTGGGGCTAGCTTTTTGGGGTGCACTCCGTGGCCGCCCCCTTCAGGGGGGGTCTTGGCCACCCCCCAGCCCCGGCGCGTTCGTCTTGCTCCAGCGGGGCTCGCTGAGCGGGGCGCGGGCCTGCACTCCGGCTCTAAGCCGGGGCGCCCGGCTCCCACTCCTCCTCCTCTTCCCGGACGCGGGCTCGATCCACCTGCTAAGTGGAGATTTCACGGGAGACAACAAAGAAAGAAGCCGTTTCTTTCTTCCTGAATCAAATTATGGATGACCAACAGCCGGCCTGCGCCTTTCCTTGGCCGCTCTCCTCTCTCCTCAGGAACACATTTCACTCGTTACCCCTTGGAGTAGTAAAACTTTTTTTTAGTCCTTGAAGGCGTGGTGATGCTGGCTGCTGGCGTGTGCGGAGAGGAGAGGCCAGCTCCTGCTCTTCTCGTGTCTGGTCCTCTCGTTTCAAGTTTTGTTCTGTCCTAGGAAAACTTCTTGCGATGCTGCATTGCTCTGAAGTTGCTATTGCCGGAACTCTTGGTTGCCTCTGAAACAAGAGTCCTCTTTCATTCTCCTCGCAACAGTCACAGTCTGATGCGACATCTTTCCTTTTAAGCAGAAACGAGGAAACAAATATAACAAGGAAAAAATGAACAGGAGAAAAATGAGGTCGAATGGCTCTGTTACCTTGTTGCTGAAGGTTGGGGTTGGTGTTTTATTTTTTTCCCAGCAGTTGTCTGAAGGAGGAGGAGGAGAAGGAGGAGGAGGAAAAGTGCATTGGTGGAGGTGGAGGGGTGTGTGTGCATATAGGAGATCCTTCATACACAACCAACTCCAGTGGGCACGCTGCGCGGCTCGTAGGGTGCACGGCTGGCGCGGGCGCGGGCCGTGCGCGAACGGAGTTGCACTGGGAGCTCGTTCTGCGCCCTGGTTTGCGCTCTCTCTTTCTCTCTCACTTTCTCTCTCTCTCCCTCCCTTTCTCTCTCTCTCTCTCTCTCCCTCTCCCTCTCTGTCTCTCTCCACCCCCCTCGCCCTCCCTCTCTCCCCCAGTCTTGCCCTCCCGCTTGCGCTCCAATCTGACAGTTCGCTCTCGGTCCCTCCCTCTCGGAGCAGGGACTGTCGAATGTTTACCCTCCGCCTCGAGCGCACACCCACCACCACACTTTCCCAAATACTAGGAAGTCGAGCGCCAGGGGCCCCGTTGATTGGCTACCTGCTGAGTGATTGGCAGGCCCGGAATGACTGGCTCTGGACGCGAGGCCCCCCTTCCGGCCGTTTCGATTGGTTGCTTTTTAATTTAGGCAGAGCCACGCGGATGCGGGAAATCGTTCGTCCCCCAGGCTCCCTCCCCCTCCCCACCGTCTCCCCCCCGCCCCTCCCCCGCCACCCTCTCCGCCACATCTTAACTCTTCGGGTCCGGCGGAGTCCTGGGCGTACCCTCCGCGGCTCTGGACGTTCGCAGGAGGCCTGGGAGGACGGAAGGGGAGCGGAGAGAAAAGAGAGGGAGGGACAGGAGAGGGGGTTAGAATAGAAGGAAAACGAAGAGGGGGAAAGAAAATAATCCTGACACAGAGCGTCCGACCCGCTGCACCTAGAACTGCGTCGTGTCGCAGCCTCCCGCCCCTCCCATCCCAGAGATTTGTACGGCGTGCGGCGAAGATGCACCTTTCAAGCTAATACCTATGACAGATGTGGCCCCAGTGGTTCAAAGTTCCCGTTTCCATTCACCAGCCTGCCCCCTTCTCTGTCTCGCCGGGCGGGGTCGGGACACCGGAGCTTGCAGCGCCGACACCTCGGTCGCGGCCACGGTTCCTGGAAATGCGCGGCCGCAACTCTCCGCAGCCGCGTCGCGCCCGCGCCGGTCCCCTTTGTTTACGCCCTCGCAGGCCCTCGTCCTCCCGGAGACCGTCGGCCCGGGACGCGCGTGCGAGCGAGCGGCCCTCCGGCTGCCCGGCTGGCGGCCCCCGCCCCGTCCGCGCCCCCTCGCCTCCCTCCCTCCCAGCCCTCCTCCCTCCGCCGGGTCAGGCAAGTAGCGCGCGTTCCCCCGTGAGTCCGGGGGGTGCCGCCGGTCTGCGGAGCGGGGGCGGTTTGGAACGGCACACGCCGCCCTTGCCCCACGGAGACGCCACCAACGCGTCTGGTCCCAGTGACTGGGGCTTCCCGTCGCAGCCGGCGCCGCCGCCACTCACTCGGGGAGCTTTGCTGTGTGGCTGTGTGTGCGTAACTTAAGTGTGGCTGTTGTGGTGGGATTGGCTTCTGGCTTTTCTAAGGTACGGTGGCGCTTTTCTTTCCTTTCTGCCTTCGATGGGTTTGCGCAGGAGATGGGTCTGGCGACGACGAACGCTTTCTCAGCCCCGGCCGGGCCGAAAGAGTTAAGGGGGAGGGCGGGGGAGGGCGGGGGTGGGCGGGGGAGGCGGCGGGGACGCGGCCGAGCGGAAACGCTGCTCCGAGGAACCTCAGCGAACCAAGAAAAAAAGGGAAAGTGGCAACGAAAACAAGGGCAAATTGAACCCTCCTCGGGGACTTCAAATGAACTAACCTAAGTCGGACATTCAAATAAATACAGCGTTCTTAATGAGGGTGCGTGTGCGTGCAGCCCGCAGCACGGCCGCGCTGCTCCAGCCCCGCGCCCGCCGCCCCGGCTTCTCCTCCGCGGGCACCGGAGTCGCGGCCCTGGACGGGGATGCGGGGCGCCCAGGGCTCCTGTTAAGTTGTGAACGGAACTGCCCTCCCCTCCCGGGGAATAATTCATCTGCTGGGCTTAGTTAGGTGAACCCGGTTAAAGCCGGATAACCCAGCAGCAGCCATGCAGCCTTTGCGTGATTTTCAGATTAAAAGTAAACACGTAGAATTTGTGTAGGATCTTGTCCAGCTCTTGCTTGCCCAGGGAGAGATACCGTCCTAGGTAGGTTTTCCAGCAAAGCCATTATTGCTAAGGTATAGATGTGAAAAAACAGTGGTAACCAAACCTCAAACCGCACAAATTTTTCCTTTGTGTCCCCATAAGCTTTCTTTTTATATTTATACGCGCGTATATGTATATATCAAAGATGGAACACAGATTTCATTGAATAAATCTGAGATCTCCAGGTGCAGACGTTTGAATAGTCAGTGCCAGCACCCCGTGTTTTCCTTTCCTGCCGATTTTGCTTGGATCTGGCTCAAAAACTGAGAGAGTCTCGTGGTTTTGTTTACACTGAATGGGGAGGATAGGAACAGAGCCATGGGGCCGTCTTTCATTAATATACAGTGAGGATTTTGTCTAAATTACCGCTATGAATTTCACAGTGCACGCTTTCCAAAGCAGTCTCAGGTGGCCTGGTGAAACGTGATCGCGCCTCTGCAAACATATCCACTTTCTTTCTTTTCAAGGAGGGTGTGTGTGTGTGCGCGAATGGGACCCCCCCCCGCCCCGCAAAACGCAGTGCTCCTTGATAACAGAAATGCACTTCTGTTCCGAGGTGTGTCCCCTTAGTCTTCCCTTTCCTTCTGCTCAGTTCTCCAGTCGCACCCTAGCCACCCCCAGCCCCACCCCACCCTCTCCCTCCCTTTGCGAGTGTGATTGTTTTGTCTGGAAAAAAAAAATCCAAAGTATATAACAAGGGGAGAACAGTTAGTGCTGATTTTCATTTGCATACATTTTCATATATTTTGGTGAAAATAATAGACTAGTGGAGAGCTGGGCTCCGAGGAGTCAGTGTGAAGGGAAGGCTAAGGATGCATCGGTTCTGGGGAGTTCAGAGTACGCCTCCCCCAAGCCCGCCACCTCGTTTAAAAATAAAACGTCTTTTATTTCAAAGTCTGACCCCGGAAGTTTGCTGGGTAAGTGTGGTTCATTTTCTCTTCATGTTTTCTCTTTTTTCTTTCTTTCTTTCTTTCTTTCTTTCTTTCTTTCTTTCTTCTTGCTTGCTTTAATGCTCTTGTAGGTTTGGGAGCTTAATTTCATTGCTTGGGACAAGAGGGGGTTCACAGAGCAACTGTTTTTAAATAAGGAAGGGAGAGTGTGCTGGGGGAAGAGAATTAAAAAACCCAGCCCTGATACAAATATATAAAAAGATGGACTTATTCCAAAGATTCCCACAGCAAGGCACTTGGGGGGGTGCTATCAATTTTAATTGTTGATTGCGAGCGGGGGGGGGAGCCCTACGGAGGGGGGGAAACAATTATAAAGTGTTCAGTATTATGAACATTTCTTGTTTGGGGAATTATAAAAATGAGCAGAGAGGAAGAGACCCTCTTTCCGTACAGACATGGTGAACTGTATGTGCTTGCTTGGGACTGGGGTGAGGAGATCCCTGCTGAGAGCAGGGGATGGGATGGGGGGGTTGGCGAAGGGAGGGCAAAAAGCTGCAGACTATGTAAGCAGGGGAGGAAGAAGAGGCAGGAAGTTGGTGCACCCTGGCTTAGTACCATTTCTGCTGCAGCCACCTAGCCTGCTCATGAAAGTCCACCAGAAAGAGGGTGATCAATCAAAACTAATGGGGACACCCTACACTTAATTCCCAAAGAGGGCTGGAGCTTGAGCACTGCAAACTAGATTTTACTGTGGTTTTAATATTTGACAACTGGCCTTGTCCCCCTCCTGCCTCCCTGGATTTTGTAAAAATTCAGTGTGCAGTTACTTGTTAGATGCAGTTAATTAGATAAATGTGGCTGGAGGAAATAGCTAGGCCAGTTTCAAGTTGATGCGGGCACCTTACCTTCATGAAATAAGGCTGGAGAGGATTCTTTAAGCTTCTTGGTTTTGTTCTTTTTAAAGGAAGCTGTGTCTGGGTGATGAGGGAGTAGACTCAAATGGCTGGAATTGTATTGCACTTTTTTTTATCCAGAACACCTTGCAATTTAAAATTCGCAGTATCGTATCTTTGGCAACAGTTCATGCCAAATCAATGAAATGGTTTGTAAGGAGGGAGGAAGAGGTTTCAGTTGGGAGAGGAGTAAGAATCGCGGGGTTTCCACTCCTTGTTTACGTGCTTGGCAGACTCGCTTTTGACTGGGGTTAACTCTCTGTGCTCCATGGGACCAGATGCCATATCGAGCTGCTCCCTGAAGATCATTTGTTTCCTTGATGGGGAACATTTCTGAGCAGAGCATATTGGTTGCCATAGAGAAAGAAATAAAAGGAAGAACACTAGTCACATTAAGCTATATGTTTGTGCACTGGGCTTGAGATAAAAGGACCTTGGCTCAGCCAAAGAGGAGAAGCCAAACTAGAGATTTCTAGCGCCACTAAAACTAGCTTTATTATGTTTTGGACTTTTACACTTGAAACATACAAGCTAATTTTATTGGTTGTTGTTAATTTTATATGACACGGTTTACCGAACAAAATAAACTTTCCCAAGTGCTCAGGAATCACACTAAGAACTTGTCAGCAGGGGGCGCCCTGACTCGCTTTAGCAGGTACTGGGTAAAATGTAGCTGTATCCAAAGCAAATCTGCTCATTCAAACATGCCAAAGGAGCAAACCTTTCTGTGCAGATTCTCAATGAGTGAATTCATTGCATAACACAGGGTTTTAAATACGAGGACAATGACTTCCCCATCTCCCACCCATCTATATCTGTGAAATGGCCCTGAAAGAAACAGTTAAAGGATTTGTCTGTTTCTCTCAGTGAACTGTATATAAAGCTGGAAAACAGAATTGGGCTGTGAAAGCAAGAAAGCTTTAAAAATTATTAAGGGTATTTAATAAAATACTTTAGAAACTACCATTCAGGTTGTATTTGTGGGGGAGAGAGTTAAAAAATAAAATGCATCCTAGGGTATTACCTATTATATAATGAATGTTCTTCAACTTGACTCATACTTTGACTTCTAAATGTAATTCAAGATCCTGGAGATTTACTTTATCTTTTTTTTTTTTAACTTCATTTGATATTTAATGGATACTTTAATTCTTGGTTCCTCCTGTGGCTGTACAAAGTGTGGGGAAAAGAAAATACAAAATAACCATTGGTTAGATGTAACTATGAGCTTGAAAAATTTTAGCATAATATTACTTAACACAGGTGAAGAAAAGTTTTAATAGAGCACCAGGTTTCCTTCCACACCAGGGATTTTAAAATACTGCCTATGGAAACAACTTTGTTTTGGTATAGGATAAAAACGGTACATGAAGAACTTCCTAAAATAGTGAAGAGCAAATTCTGAGCAATTTTGAGGAGTTAGTTTGTTACTAACAATTTTCCCAAGGAGATTTAGAGAGCATGGCTAAGAAAGGGCAGCCTATCAGTGACTGGGAGTAAGAAGCTGGTGTCCTCTGTTCAGTAATTCAGTGCACCTGGGACTGTGTCACTGAGCCTGTTCGGAAGGGGCACAGGACATGAAACTCTAATGTTTCCCAGGAAGAGGGCGGAAGACACCTTTTTCTAACTCAACTCCAAGTCAACCAGCTTCCAGCCATGAGTTTTACTTTGAAACTAACTTTGAAAAGTCAAGGTTTGGCTTTAAATGGTATTTAATCTGAGAGGGTTGAAAGATTATGGGGACTAATAATCAAAGGAGACATTCTGAAAATCATTTTAATTCCATGATTTTTTTTTTTGTCTGGGAGCTCTCACATTTAGAGTCAGGAAATGTACTGTCAGGTTTGTGCTGATAAAACAAAGTGGAAAATCGAGAAAACTGCAGTTTGAGTCCAAACATTGCTTTTTCTTAAGCTCTCTGGACAAAAGACTTCTGGGGGAAATCCACACGAACTGGACAAATGCTCAAAGCTCCAGCTTACTTTGCATGCCTGGGCCGCTGAATGCATTTAAAAATTGTTAAGGAGAAAGGAAACTTTTCTATTTAGCCATACATTTTGCAAAACACTAGTTAGGCAATAACTGTATATACATATTTAGAGGATACTTTTTTGTATCCTTTTTCATTGGATCTGTAATTGTTACTATCTTGGCTGATACTTTCTTTTTTTTTTCTTGCAAAAGTACTTTAAAAGAAAGAAAAAAAATGTTCCTCATGATATCTATAGTCTTAGGTTACCTAAAGTAAAAGAAACAGAAAATAGTGCTTCTGAGTAGAGCAACAAGTTAATTTGAGAACTGATATATTATAGAGAACGAATTAGCATTCTATAATGATTTGGCGGTGGGAACGATTGAGCTGGGTGTATGAATTAAGATTCAAAGTGCTGGGCAAAGCTACAAAATTTTAATCATTGGGGATGGTGAAACTGCTTTTGCCAAATGAGAGAATGAAGAACATTACCTGGGTCAAATGCACAAAACACAAAGTGGGTATTTATTCATTTGCTTTCATTTGAGAATGATAAGGTGCTGGATACCCTAGCTGTGCAGGAGTACACTTGCCATTAGCATTTACAAATTAAAATGTTAAGCATACTTACAACCCACAGTGTGTGCTATATACAAAGTAAAGGGCTCTCTAATGGTAACTTTTGGGTGAAAACGAGTACATGTCATCTTGAGCAGTGGATGAGTTGTTTCCTGGTCTTGCTGAGTGTTTTGAAGTGTTCGACGGTTCTTCTAGTTCTTTGTATCACTTTGATAACTGATTTATCTGATCTATAGGAAAGGAGCAGGCACTTAGTTCTCTTAGATGGGTTTGAAGAGGCAATTATAAATTCAGACACTGTAATTTCTCACCCTAAAATAAGAAGCTTTACTTTTCATGCTTACAGGACAGCTTTAGACGACCAGGCAGTTCAGATTGGGAAACTTAATTTGAGAAGCCATGATAAGTTGGTTATGGAGTATATACTTTTGAAACAACCCATCTCCAACATTTAGCCCACTCTAGCTGCATGCGTGCGTCTGACAAGTCTGTTAGGGAAAGCTACCAATTGCTAGGGAAGCCATAGCTGACACAATGTAACACACTATTCTTGCCCGTCGCCTCATATCGCCACCCCAGACCCCATCATAAGGGTCTTTGAATTTAAATGCACAGGGATAGATAAGTAGAGCCCCAGCTGATTGACTAGACTGATGATAATGATTTATTAACAAAAACGTGGGTATGTCCTAGCTAGCAAAATATTCCATGGTCCGATGTGTATGTATGTTTTAAAACAAACACTACAAATATTAACTCAGCTTTGCTAGAGGGATAGTTGGATTGCTTTGAGCTTGGGGTCCTACCAGAAGTGAACTCTCTTCTCCCTTAGGGACACTTCCTCCCAACCCCAACCATTTCCTATATATTAGACAGCACTTCCTTTCTAGGTTGGGACTCGGTACTCTAGGATGGATAAGAAACATTGTGGCACATTGTGGGGGAAAAAAAAATCAAATACTCTTTTTTTTTTTTTACTTTGGCACCTGTGTTTTTTATTAGGTTTGTAAATATTTGAACTTAGCTATTATTTGTGGAGCTGGGTACAAATTGCGTTTTACTAGGCTGAAAGCTGTTGTTCTTTTGGGCATTTCCGCCAAATAGTGCTCATGTGGGGTCCTCTCTCCTGTGACTGCTGAAGCTCCCACTTCACTGTCCTGCTCCCTCCTTAGGTCCATGTGGACTGGTCAGTGTTCGAGGGGTCTTCAAGAAAGTGTGGTTGTTTTGTTCACTTAAAAAATACAGTATCAATATTCATGAATATTGATACTTTCAGATACTCCATGGTTTGTTTGCAGCAGTATAATTTCAGCCCCCCCCAAATCTGGTAAAGAGGCTTTGGTGGTAGAACTCAGTGACCTTGCTCACTGTAGCTTCATGCCACTGGCGTTTGTTAGTCTGAAGTTAAAAGCTTTGTATCTCCTATCGCTTTGAATGCTTACCCTTCCTCCAAAATATTCTGGTTACTCAATAAAGCCCAAGGGGAGACTTCCCAGGTTGAGTGGTGCTTAACAGATGACAAA